ATATTATATACTATATTAAGTTAATTTAAGTAGAAGTAGCTTTTAAAAATTAAACTTATTCTATTAGTATAATTAATATTATATTATAGATTAAGTTAAATAGCTTAATAGTATTAAATAAGTTTTTTAAGAAAGTTTATTAATTATTAAAGAGGTTAAAATTAAAGGAAAAGTTTATTAAAAGTTAATTTATATTTAATATATTTTAATATAAGAGTTATTAATATAGAATTTTTAGATTAATAATAATAATTAATTACTTATTACTAATTTAATTAATAAACTATATATTATATAATAACTTTATTTATTTAATTAATATAATATAAAGTTAAACTTAATAAATATAATTATTAGATTTACTTTATTATTAATAACTTTATTATTATAAGAAGTCTTTTAATTAAATATAAATTTAAGGATTTTATATATATTAAATATAACTCTCTTAAATTATTTATAATTAAAAGTAATATATCTTTTAAAAGCTTATTATCTACTTTAATAATTAAGCTCTTATTAATAAAGATATAAGTATTAAATAATAATATCTTATTATTATTATTATTATTATTATTACTATATAGGAAAGTAATTATAATTAATAATAATAAATATCTCCTTTTAGAGCTATAGCTAACTTATATATTAACTAGCTCTTATTAAAGTTTTTAATAAGATATTAATACTTATATTTAAGCTAAATATATAAATATTTAAGTTTTTATAGTATTAAAGATTTAAATATAAGCTATAAATTATATTTTAAAAACTATATATAATAATTATATATATAGCTTAATTTTAAAACTAAATAACTCTTATTTATAGTAAGAAAAAATAAATAAATAATATAGAAAAGTAATTATAATTAATAATAATAAATATCTCTTTTTAAAGCTATAATTAATTTATATATTAATTAGTTTTTATTAAAGTTTTTAATAAAATATTAATATTTATATTTAAATTAAATATATAAATATTTAAGTTTTTATAATATTAAAAGTTTAAATATAAACTATAAATTATATTTTAAAAACTATATATAATAATTATATATATAGCTTAATTTTAAGATTAAATAACCTTTATTTATAGTAAGAAAAAAAATATATTTAATAATAAAATATATTTATATTATTTAATTCTCTTTTCTTTAATAATTACTTTAAATTTTATAATATTTTAGTCTAATAGCCCTTAATAGATAGACTATATACTATTTATATCTCACCTTCCTCATATACTATCAGTAAGATCCTTGCTTAATTAGTCGGTTGCGTATAACGCAATCCCATCTTGACACGCCTACTGTGTCGCATTGGTAACTGGTTGACGTGTGCTTGCGGCACGTTGTGAAGTGTCTCAGATAGCTGACGACCAGATGACGTCTTCTATAAATACCACCAAAGCCCCATGTATCCCATGTTCTGTAAGTAGGCACACACTTGATATTCCTTTAACATCCATACAAATTCGCGAAGACCAACGGACCTGGGATATACAAACTTGGTGGCGACATTGCTTCTATTCCATCCAGCCAGCGACTGCAACACAACGACAGCATTACCAAAAGGCTGAAACACACGAGAGTCCTACACAATTGTTTTCCTCGGACCGATTTTAGAGAACGATGGCCGCTCAGGAAATCCAGGCACCAGTTGATGGCTGCTGCATTAGCTGCTGCAAGGCCAGCGATCTTGGGACCCATGACTACTGTGGGACATGCTACAAGTGTTCGTCGAATAAGCCATAGTGGTGGCAATGTACCACCGACGTTTTGTTGCTCTCAGCACTGATCTCCTTGCCGGTCAAGGGAGTTCCGGGCTGCGTCTGGCGTCTTCGGTTACCCACAACATAAAGTTCTTGTCTTGAGATCGGCGTTGCGGTGAGGGCTGCTGAAATGATCACCGTATGTGATAATCCGTCATCATGGGAACGAATTGAGGTGGATGCCTTTTTCTCCGCTGGCAAGATTTGGTCGTGGATATTGTTAGCTGGGCGTACTTGCATTTATCGGGTCAGATAATTGGCTCATTCGAGGATGCCCACCAAATTTATACCATACCCTATCTCAAATTGAATGAGGACTGTGTGTTCTGTCGGACTATTCTGCGACGCAGTCCTACCAGCATTTTAAGATGCTAGGCTAAGGAAAACGGCTGCCATAGATGACTTATCGTACTTGACATACTTGCCCTTGCCCTTGTCGATCTCATGATACCGGTCCCAGAATCGCTCATAGAGTGGCTGCAGTTTTTGGCGGATGTCTTCCCCAAACATGGCACGAACCTCACGCTCCATGCTGTATGATTTATGGCGAGAAACCATATCCTCGAACGCATTATTGAACTGTGTGAATTTTTCCTTGATTTTGTCCTTGTCTTTGCTGCTCAGGCCCTTCACCACTGATGCTGAGTCGGCAGGCCCGGATGTCGGTCTGTGAGTGCGGTTTGTATGTATAGTGTCAAACAAGTGTATCGACAAGTCTTTGCAGATATCCGTGTACAGTGCCGTTGATTTTTTCCGCCATTGGTCGAGCTGGTCAAGCCGAGGAGAGAGCAAGGACGACAGGTCAGAGTCCATGATCATACGCTCAATGATGATGACACTATTGGCAAGGAAGACACCGACTACCGATTTCCCTTTCAGTAGGATTCGTGCCTTCTGTTCAAGAGTAGATAGTAGCACATCGACTGTGTCGAGGCAATAGTGGGCAAATATGTCCTTCCCGTCCGCAGCAAAATCAAACGACGCAAGACTGGGAACGCCATCTCCGGCTCGACCACCTGCGCTGGCTCCTGACTTCCAACCACCATCACCGAGCGACACCATAATACTTGATATTGGTTGCAAGAACTCCACCATCGATTGCAAACGTCGCATGGATTCCGATACAATAGGAGTTGGTGCACCATCAGAAGGTAATGTCTGCAAAGCATTTACCTTTCGTCTCGTTTCGTCCATTAATTCTGACAACGAGGATTTTGCCGTTTCACGTACTGGCTTCAATGAAGCTGTTAAGGAACTCTTCAGCTCACCGGTCCGAGCCTCAAGCCGGTCAGTCAGGCCACCAAGTATTTCTGTTATCTCGTAGGCAAGGTTGCAGTCTGTTGCGAGATGGGCCTTGATATGAGAGTTAAGCTCACGTAGAGTCCTTGCTAGCTCAGTTAAAGCTGCCTGGCATGTAACCTGAAAGATTGAGGCCCAGTTGTTCCGAGGAAAGATGCTACATATGTTGTCATATTCGGACACAAACATGCCCTCCATTGCCTGCGCATATGTACCAATTCCGTTTGTTCCTGCCCGGTAGACAGCGCTCGCATTCTTCTTCTTCGCGGTATTAACACTAGCTGCTGCTAAGTTGGCCAACGATGCCGAGATATACGGTCCGCGGATTTCGGCGTAAATCCTCGTGACGGGAGATTCAATGTCATTTCCATGTTGATTGGCCACAATGTAGGAACACACAAGACCAAGGCGGGCGATCATGTCCTGTGAAAAGACAGGGAAGGGTTTGTCTTTCGTAATGTAGTGCAGGGGCTCAACAGTACGAGGTGTATCGGAACGGAGCAAATGATCAAAATAGCCTTCCAGTTGACTGTTACCGGATTGGATAAGCCGTCCTAGATCGGCCATAGTGCGTTGGTTGGCCCGAAGATTAGAGATCTGCATGTCGTTGTATGACTTGTTGAGTCGCTTCATGGATGCTAAGAAATTCGGCAGCCCAGCCCTGTCTGGGCCAGATCGGATTGTTTGTTCTTCATCGCCTTTACTATCGGCTGGCTGACGGAGCCGATCGATAGCTGAAAGTATGGAATCGATATCTAAGGAAATCAGCGTTGTTTAGTATGATTCGAATCATCCAGCATAGCGAACTTACTGTGGCCAAGAGTCTGAATCCTTCTGGTTTCACCATTCAATGGCCCAGCAACGTCGCGCACGCTCTGGCCAGATGTCTCCAAGCGACCCAAACTTGCTTGAATCTTCTTGGTCAATTGCGTCGTCTTCTCTAGATGGGAATTAAGCACGTCAACCTCTGCCCGAGCTTCCTCGTCGATGGCAGGGCCCTTGACGACTTGCCCGATGGCCATGGCGAAGCAGAAGAATGACCGGCACTAGTGAGCAATGAGGAGGAGGTTGCGTGGCAGGATAGCTGTGACCGGGTCGTCTGGTGCGAGCCAAGCGTAGGCAGAGCGACGTTGGCGCGCTCCTTCGAACTACCGTCGTTGATGAGAAGAAGGTGGCTAGATCGCCTGAGGCGCCTCTGTGGATGGGTGAGCTTCAATGCGTGGGTGGGGCACAGACAGCCTCAAGGTACCTGGGGAACAAGGTGCCCACTTGTACCTCTCACTGTCAGCGAGGTACCTACCATACGCTACCTCCCCGTTATAAGCATACATACCTAGCAAGGTGCCTCTGTCCAAAACTTGGCACAGAGGGACCATCCCATGGGCTGTGTTATCACCAATTCACCAATTCAATCTAATAACTTATGTATGCAACCACAAAACCAGGGTTTCTCCTACTTATTTCGGTAGTTCCTTTTCCCAATTAAATAATATTATGCCTATAACTTCCACGGTAGGCTGTTTGGTGCGCCAGGCTGTTATCTCAGCCGCTTACCAAGCCACAACCTTTGAAGTTTCAGCACTTCTATTCAGTAAAAAGATCGTTAGGATAGTATAAGAACGCATGATCCAATTACTGCGGAGCTTGGTAGAAGTGCATCTGATAGGGAGAATGGGTGCGAAGGTGAAAATCGTAACGATCTTATCGATAAGACATGTCTCCGCCACTTTACGCGTGATGCTATAACGCGAACGCGTTACGCGTCGAAAATCCCGGACCTCCCCCGCCCACCTCACTCACACCCCTGGCCTTGGAACAAACGAATATCGGAAACCGCCACCCATTTTCAACCTCCGCACCTTAGCCATTCAGTGAGATTACCAATTCGCGAAGCAAAAGAAACGATCATCAACCAGGGCCTTGTCATGGCAGATATAGATTCAAGTAACCCTTTAGACCAAGGGGCGAGAGACCGCATCCGTCTTGCTCAGGAGTTTCTCGACCCAGGTACGACCCTCGATCTCCAAAGAGAGGGGGAGCACATTTGTGCCCTTCGCTCTTATTTTTTTCGACCAACGGACTAATTTGAGACTTCTCAGGCGATGCTCATGCCCGTAGCTATCGATCCAACATCATCTTGATGCTTCAGAAAAATCTACGTCGCTTGACAGTTAACCTCGACCATGTGCGGAACCATAGTCCTGAGCTTGCCCAGGGCATCTTGACACAGCCATTCGACTACACCTTAGCATTCAATGAAGCGCTCAGGAGCATTGTGGATACCATCCAGCCTCGTTCAAGTCCGAACAACCGCGAACAACCACGCTACTACTGCGCCTGGGCAGGAAGTTTCGGCCTTCACGCTTGCAACCCGCGCACACTTTCATCCCAGCACCTCAACTATATGGTGTCTCTAGAGGGCATTGTCACTCGATGTTCATTAATCCGCCCAAAGATCGTTAGGAGCGTACATTACAATGAGACCAAGGACGTGCTGGTCACTCAAACTTACTCAGACCAGACCATGACCAATGGTGCGACAACCTCAAGTGTCTACCCTCGAGAGGATGCGAACGGGAACCCCCTCATCACCGAATACGGCCTCTGTACATACCAAGATCACCAAACCATCTCGATCCAGGAAATGCCCGAGCGCGCACCCGCCGGTCAGCTTCCCCGAGGAGTAGATGTCATTCTTGACGACGACTTGGTTGACAGTGTCAAGCCCGGTGACAGGATCCAGCTTGTGGGAATTTACCGAACTCTCGGAAATAGAAATACCAACCACAATAGCGCCTTGTTCAAGACTGTTATATTGGCAAACAATATTGTCCTTCTGTCTTCCAAGTCTGGGGGCGGAGTTGCCACTGCCACCATTACCGACACCGACATTCGAAACATCAACAAGGTGTCAAAAAAGAAAAATCTTCTCGAGCTATTATCGCAGTCCCTGGCACCCAGCATTTATGGCCATGACTACATCAAAAAGGCCATTTTACTCATGCTGTTAGGCGGCATGGAAAAGAATCTCGAAAACGGGACACACTTACGTGGTGACATCAACATATTGATGGTTGGCGATCCATCCACAGCCAAGAGTCAACTTTTGAGGTTTGTTCTCAATACTGCTCCGCTTGCTATTGCCACTACAGGTCGCGGTTCATCTGGTGTCGGTTTAACGGCAGCCGTAACTACTGATAAGGAGACTGGTGAGAGGCGACTTGAAGCGGGTGCGATGGTCATGGCAGACCGTGGTGTCGTGTGCATTGACGAATTTGACAAGATGTCCGATATTGACCGTGTTGCCATCCACGAAGTAATGGAACAGCAAACTGTGACCATCGCTAAAGCTGGCATACACACCTCTCTCAACGCCCGGTGCAGTGTAGTTGCAGCAGCAAATCCAATCTTTGGCCAGTATGACCCTCACAAAGACCCTCATAAGAACATTGCCTTACCAGACTCTCTTTGTCTCGTTTCGACCTTCTCTTCGTTGTCACAGACGACATTGAGGACACACGGGACCGCAAGGTGTCAGAGCATGTGCTTCGTATGCACCAATACCGTGTAGCCGGTTCTGAAGAAGGCGCGCCGGTGCGAGATCAGGGCTCTCAGTCCTTGGGTGTGTCAATGAATCTCCAATCCGAATCCCAGGGCCCAACGGAAATGTATGAGAAATACAATGAAATGCTTCATGCTGGTGTTACTGTGACCTCGGGTCGAGGCTCGCAGAAAAAGACGGAAGTTTTGACTATGGCCTTCATGAAGAAGTACATACAGTATGCCAAAACTCGAATCAAGCCGGTTCTAACCCAAGAGGCTTCGGAAAGAATCGCCGAAATATATGTCGGCCTGCGCAACGATGAGATGGAGGGAAATCAAAGACGAACAAGCCCCTTGACAGTCAGAACCTTGGAGACGATAATTCGTTTAGCTACTGCTCACGCGAAATCGCGATTATCTAACAGGGTGGAGGAAAGAGATGCTTTGGCTGCAGAGGGCATCCTCCGATTTGCCTTGTTCAAGGAAGTGGTAGAGGACTCACGTAAAAAGCGGAGGCGGACACAGGCCACTGTTGATTTTGCCTCTTCCAGCGGATGAGGACTCCGATGCCGAGGAGGGTGAAAACGAGCCGGTCAGTTCAAATCGCAGCGCTAGGCAGTCAACCCACACAACCCGAGCCACCACACCGCTCGCAGTTTGGACCTGCTTCATCTACAGCTACCAACGGTGTGGGCGAAGCTGATCAAGTGGGAACGGATGTGGACGCCACGGGCCCCAGAGTGATCTCAAGTCAAAACACACCACGGCGATCCACCCGTAGCACGAGGTCAGCAAACGTGGATTCCCAGTCTCAGACATCATTTGCTTCATCCATGCCTGCCTCTCAGTTACCATCGTCGGGAACCGATGCTGCGGAACGATCACAGGACGACGAGCAACTCGTCGATGGTGCATCCAACCTTGCTCTCAATGACGATGAAGAGCCAATTACTTCCGCACGGTTAGCCACATTTAGAACGGCATTGGGACAACTCCTCGGCACAAATTTGTTCGAGGATGACTCTGCCCCCCTCGAAGCTGTTGTTGATGCTGTCAACGCCAAGATTGGAAACCGGGACGGCGGTCGTTTCAATCGTGGAGAAGCCACGAAAGCATTGAAGAAGCTGTCAGAAGCTAACCATATAATGTATGTGCCAAATTGTTGTCTGAATTAGAAATCATGTCTAACCAAGTTGGTCTTTTAGGTTATCCGATGACGATATTGTCTTCCAAATCTAAACGAGGATGGGAACGTGGCAGCGCGAACTGTGATGATTAGGGTTTGCATCCCCTGAATCGCTGGCCCCGCGGTACGCCTTGGGCAACAGGAGACGTGATCGTCACAAATTTATTGGCAATATTGGCATTGGGGGAGCTTCTGTTGCTAGGGTTCGTGACGATTCTGTGATGGATGAGACATATGAACGCATTGTTGGACATGATAAGTAATGACATTAATACAAGGGGGTGTGAGCTATCTCACGGGTTTAAACCTGTTGTCCATTTTCAAAAGAAGAAAAAGCAAAAGGAATTAACACCCAAAAAGAAACAAGCAAGAAAGGACGGAGGAGGGGGAAAGCAATACCCAAAAAAAATCAATATCTATAAGCTCTCTATTATATGTTACCGTTGAGGCGTAAATCATAGTCGTGATTGAAAACCCTTCAGTCGCTCCTGGATACTTTCTCCGTTCCATTTCTCATCGTTGTTTTCCTCTCCTGCCTCCAAAATCGGACGCCAATTTGCTCAATAGCAAAGCTAGCCGCGACCGTGCCCCATGCGGCGGCCTCCTCAACACCATGTCCTCTGGCCAGAGCTACAGCCAAGCCGCCCAGAAAGGTGTTGCCACCTCCTGTCGGATCAACGACCTTGGATGCGTTCTGATGGTAGGCGGGAAGCCACCGTTCAATGCCGGGATCGACTTCAATCTCTTCGCGGGCAACCAGGCCATCGTCGTCCTGGAGGAGGCCAGCGAAGAGCGCCTCCATGTCAGTATCTGGCTGTAGACCACCTCTGACGTAATTTTTCTTGCGTCGCTTGGTGGAGGATGCAGGGTCACGTTGCCGCTTCCTCCCGCCGTTCTTTGCTATGTAGCACCCTTTCTCCCCGACACGCACTACCAGCGTGAAGGACTGGAGGGGCATACTAGCAAGCAGTTGTTCGCAGGCCCGCTCAACGGAAACTGTGGAAATTTCACCAGTTTCCGGGTCTAGGCCATCATCTCCCATGAATCCGGCAAGCTCGGAGTGGTTGGGGCTGCATATATCCACAACTGGCAAGGTGTTTGTGCAGTTAAGTAACTCGTCTGGGGTGCAGAGGTCCGGCACTGGCTCCCAAATGTATATTGGTCTAGTGTAGTTGTCGGGATTTGCTGCCTTGCGACGTGCTGAGATGTCGGCGACAAGTTGCTGGCAACGAAGGGGGGAGCAGATGAGATGGAAAGCCCTTGCCTGAAGGAGATTTGGTGTCAGGTCCTCAGCCGTGAGACGCTTTTTAGCCGTCATGTATTTAAAGGACCGCTGCTCCGAAGTTCCAACATAACCATTCCAGCCTCGGGTGGTGAGGCGCTCAGTGTCCTCACGGATGACAACCGATGTGCCCCAGCTGTCGATGATATCCGCCGCTGATGCCGGAAAATCATTGCCCTTGTCAACAATCCAACCCACAGTAGAAGACTTGGGTGGTGGCGAGAAAAGGCGGGCGCCCAGGGCCGAATATGAGCCAGCCCCCCCGAGAATGTCCTTGACGGCAGTCTTTGGTGGTGCAAAGTCGATGTCGTCTTTGCAGGGTAGAAAATGTATTTGAGTTAGCCTACCGGTTACGGGGTGGGGTGGGAAGGCATCGTTGGTTCAGGTCTGAACCGTTGGGAACTGATGAGGCTTTGATGGATCGAGTGTGTGGGTAATGGGCGATGGATGGGCGGCTGGCTCACCGATAATAAACATTCCAAGGGTGACAAAGTCGATACAGGGCGCCGGTGAACTGGTAGCTTCGTCTTCTTTCTCTTCCTGGCCAGGGCGGTCCAACTTTGCGGGCTCCGGGGTCGGATTGGTCGCCGCCTCTGGTTGTTGATCTTGGGCCTCAGGCTTCTTGAGGTTTTCAGTCAGGACAATGATCCCTTGGGGCTTCCCGTCCAGGGACCCGGTGGAGTCTTGCTGCGGTTGGTCTTGTTGTGGTGCATTGTCCATCTGGATGTGATACGGAATAGCGCAGGTGAAATGATGAGAATTTTGCCCTGCACATGAGCATAGATAGGGCTGATACATGCAAATCCAAAGGTCGTCCTCCCAAACCAGTGTAAGTAAGTATGCAGAGGTCCGCGATCGGATGGTGGATCAGGACGTGTATTGTAGCAATCTCTGCTATGCACAATGAGGAGCGAGAAGAAAAAACAAGCGGTGGGTGATGGCTGTTTCCGAGTGGAAACCGTCTTTCAGGCACACGGACGACGGCGGATGCACAGCAAGAAAAGGTGGCAGGGAGAGCGTGTGTCAGATATCATTAGTGGTGGATGAGATAATACCAATCGGAATCAGGATGCATGTGTGGGCTATGGAATCATGAGCAGCAACACATTCAACAGCCAGCCCCGATCCAGGCCATGTTGGCCGTCCAAGACGATCATTATCCTGCCTGCATGATGGACACGCAATGATCGTTGGCGCAGCTGTAGGGTATCAACACATGGAATCATGGATGGTCAGGCACCGTGACACAAGTGCCCACTATGGATCAGCTGTCAGTCTCGGTAGTAGGCCTGCTCCGTGCTGCGAGTGTGGTTGCACGTACATGCCACCTACCTAGGTAAGGTAGGTACAAGTAAGGTAGGTAAGTACTCGCCCCAACCTTTAATAATAATAACCTTGAATGCATTTCCATCACATCTTTGCCATTGACTCTAGTCTAGGCCAGCAGTTGGCACGTCCATGGCCAGCCCTCTAGGTCCTAGCACCTAACTCTACCTG